CCCCGCCACCACCCAAAAAACCATCCCCGTCGACTGACAGAAGTCATTTCCGGCGAAATGAACCTGCGCATCCGTGGGGTACTTTCTCTTCTCTATTTTCTTTTGCATCCCTTTCCGATCAACTTGACGCGTATCTTATCCCGTCTCCGACTATTCTACCGTCACTTCTCTCGTTTTCATCTAAAAACCAGCATCCCTCTCTATTCCGATCGTACCACTGCGCGGTACATCGATTTTATACGTCTAGCCTCCTCCGTGAAAGGATCGTGATGGATGATGTCACGGTCAGCGCATTGTTCGTTACAATAGCATGCTTTTCCCTGTCGAGAATTTTCACTGGGATCGCATCGAGCCTTCGTCCCTACGGAGCACGTGGCTTCTTGATGGTTAATAAGAATAGTGCAATTTCGTATAGTTATACAAAATAGGTTATAGGTACACCCTGTTGAAAAAATAAATTGTATACATATATATTCCTTTGAAGATAAAAATACCCTAGGGCTTCGGTACCGTTACATTTTTATGAACGCTTACGAATATTTTTCTTGTATTCTGTATATATTTTTTTCTCGGTGATAAGGAACGTCCTTTTTTAAAAGGTTTACATACTTTTGTGTACAGCTATTGAGGATTTGCTAATTATCGTAAGATCGTAATCCAAGCAATCGACGTTAGTGACCTTGACCCCAACTGAAAACGAGGGTCGTAGGTCAAGGATGAGATATTTTGAGACCCTCGTTCGTCCGGTTCTATCCGGTAGTTAATCCACTGGAGATGCAGCGATTCGACGATTTTAATCTTGGTGGAAGCCAAATATAACCACGACTGTTATGACCCGATGGATATTGAATCAGATCTGAGATCGTTTGAAAGACAGTATTGCAATTGGTAAAATCGTACAGTGGTTATCGGGTGTAAACATTGGCCAATTAATGATCAGCATCATATTCCGTTGGTCCAGAATCCAAAGAGCAGACTCTGGGAGATCGCGATAGCCTATTGTCTAGTACATTATACATCAGACGCAGTTCGCTAGTAACTTTACTCCACGATAGTAACCGGAAATTGGAACGTAGCAGAAATCATAGCAAAGAACGAACGCCGGCGTTACTCTACGTTCCAATGGATTCGTAATCCGTTCACGATGGCCGCATAGAAGCGTGATATTAATTGGATTTCGATACTATCTACTATATTTACACGAGCGATTTCTCCTGTCGAATAAATCCATACGTACCCGGCGCATATCTATATAAGTACGTACACACGTGACCCAACGAGATTGAATCCGTAACGAGAAGGAAAGAAAAAAAAAAGAACCGATCACAAAAAACGAGAATGCACTTTTTCGGGAAAGTGCACTGGGACGAGATAGAAAAAAAGTGGATCATCGAGGTAAATAAGAAAAGTGGTATCATCAGTCACTAACGGTTGGTTTCTCGTCGATTCGTCGAATGGCCATCGTCATTCGTAAGGACTTCCTATCAGACCCGCTATATACACGTATACGTATGGTACAACTTTTATCAGTAGTCTCAGGAGTGTACTGGGGAGATAGGGAGCGGATACGGAGAGACAGAGCGATAAGGGAGAAATAAATAAAAGCATAGACAGAGAGAGAGGTATATGTATAAGTACGAAAAGGGAGAAAAAACAAAAGCGAAAAGACAAAGGGTCCATGACTTATCGATTTTTCCCACTGTCTAACGAGCTCGGACCTCTCGAGGGTTATACAGCGCCACGTACTCCTGTAGTAGCTTCAAGATTGTTCCGGATGTAATAAAGGTAGAAAAAAAAGGAATGAACTACGAATGCACGTACGTCACACACAACGTGAGAGGTCTCTTACCCGTCTAAAGTCGTGGTAGTTTGACACAATTCCTCACAAAAGGCGCGAGGGCTCGTTACGTACATCAAACGTCGGCGAAAAATACGAAGACGCCTTTCGACACACGTTTTTCAGTCGAGATCTCTTTTTTCTCGGGAGCCTCTCCTCCTTTACCGGAAGAGACGAGAAAAAAGTGACAGAAGACCTTGCACCGGGTGCTTTCACCTCCAGGTTGGTTCGACATAACCTCGAATATCTTTCGCGTACCGTCGGGCCCTCTTTGAGCCCTTTTACGAAAACGTCAATGCCCCTGCCAGTTAACACGAGCCTTAGCAGGCACCTCCTTTGCCAATTACAATGGCATTGCCTCCCTCGAACTTTGTCCCTCGTCTGGGAAGCACTTTGCACTCTAAACTCGGTTGGCTTCGCATTAATCTCAAGAGTGCAAGAGGAGTTGCCTCTCCGCCTGAAAATCACTAGAGGAATTTTCTTACTGTACTCCCGGTACGTCCGTTACCCGTATAACGGTAAGACTGCACCAGGCGTAAATATTAAGAGGGAGCAGCTGACAAAAGTCTTAATGTAAATACACGAGGAAACTATTTCGTAAGTGCCAATCGTATGTGACGAAACGTAAAGGCGGGTGAATATTTTCGAAAGCGCTGACTGGACACTTCCCACGTCTTCCTGTCATATCCCGGGGTTACACGCGAATCCCTGGGATTTTTCCATTCGTCCGAAACTTGTCGACGTCCCGTCCCTACTAAATGGAGGTACATTTTTTTTATTTTTATTCCCCTTTTCCATCCGCTCCATCCTTCACCGCCTCCCCCCCCCCCTGTACCCTACCGTCCTGAACTTGCACGGCCTATATACCTCGCGCAAGCTAATGCGATGATAGATGAGCATAAGGGAATCCCTTTTGGTATAAAACTACCCCTTGTGTGTCCTTCGGCCGCTCGTGAGCGTCGGCCCGTGTCTATTGCTGAGTAAGCCCTCTCTTTACGTGTTTCTGCGGCTCGACCGTCAGCGAGCACGTGGTGGAGAAGCGTCGGCGAGCGTCGAAATCGTCGGAAGACGAAAACGTTATCGGTATAGCGGATGACGTCGACTTTCATATCAGCGTACAGGGGATGAACGTGAAATTGATTGGTTGGATGTATTTGAATGGGGAAAAAATCAATAAAAAAATACCCAGAATTCTCGAAATCGATGTTGCAGGACAGATACGTTATTGGTCGTCGGGTCTTTTCACGTGAAAAAAAAGAAGTTTTAATTTGTTGAGTGTCGAGCGCACCGTTAATTATATGCAAACACAGACGCTTCGGTCGCGCAATTAAAACACGGAATTCCGAGGCTCCTGAGCTTCTAAGCTGCTTCCGCATAGACCCGAGTCTCCAACTTATTACAGCTTGAAGCTGCGGCGTACGAGGGAAAATGTTTGACGTTCATTACGAGCGCTTTGGTTTCTCTCATTCGTTTTCTCGCGCGCTTCCCGTGTCTGTTTATCTCCCTCTTAACCTCTTCCACATGTCAAATCTTTACGGGCGGCGACTTCCACTCGCGATCTTTCCACGATTTTACTTCACGTTTACACACCACTTTCGTAGCCATTCTCCCTCTCTCTTACTCTCGCCCCTTCGCGAAATTTCTGTCTGGCATGTAGATATATATATATATACCTGAGAAACTTGCGAGCTTTATTCGCTCATGTAAATTTAATCTGGAATGGGCTCAAGGCCCAGAGGCGTTTGTCGAATCGATCGCCTTTCATGAAGACGGGACTTGAATGGATACAAGACCTATGAGAATGCTCACAAAAAATCGTATTTGACTCGTTCTCCAATTTTTCACGTGTAGAAAAAATGGAACGTTACTCCGGGGTACCCACGGTGCTATATCCTTTATAAAATTACGACAAAAGCCCTTTTCACAGTCTATGGCCCTTTAATGCTATGACAAAGCAGACAATGTCCCCGGTAGGACGTTATCGCGATTAATTATTCCCTCCAAAGTCCACGTGGATCTTCGTCCTAGGATTTTAAGCCGGCTGAAAAGGAAGTCATTGTCGCGTCGTGTCCCTCTAGCGTGGATGTCGAGAACTTTCGTTCGGCAAGACGCGATCGGCGACTATAGCTGCCTTCGTCCACGCATAGATACGCGACTTTACGCACGGTGCGGTGCAAACCAGCCTGTCGACGGGACCAATTTTCCAGCACTTCTCTCGCAAGATGCATAATGCAATTCAAGGCTGCATCCTTAGACCCTCTTCTACGTTTCGTTTGTGCTTCCTCGGGCGTGCTGAATTTTCGTTGGCTCTTGGAGACATTTCCCTTTTTTTTTTACACGTCCTTCCCTGTATCTCTCTCAACGTTACTCCACAGAAGGGACGCCATTTTCCGACCTGTTTAACATTTAAATTTATGTTCATCCGTTTCAAGTCGTATCCGCCTCGTTGTATATATATATATATATATATATAGGAATGACGAAAACAAGCTAGTGACTCGTATACAGTCGTAGGCCTCTCTGTGTGCAGTAGTACTGTTCTATGGGACACTTACATAATATACTCGGATGTAGATATACTTCCATACTTGACCTATGCACATGAATAGGAGGTACGGTAAAGAGCTGCTTACCACGCAGAGAAAGCTCCACTCCTGAACGCAAAACTGCACCACCTCGAGACAGACGCCTTAGAAGAGAAGGAAGCCTCACGGGTCGCCGAGACGAGAGAGAAAAGAGTAAGAAGAAAAAGAAAGAAAAAAAAGGAGGTCGGTATGCAACTATGTTCCTGTTAGTTACCTCACTTGGCTTCGGAGTAACGAACTTTTGCCACCCCGAGGTACTTCAGACGTTTCCTTATACTTTTCACAGTCCTTTGGCCATATTTGGCATGCACCAAGTACGTATATACATACACCGAAATACGTATACGAGGGGTTCAACTAAGAGTATTGAATTCCCAAAATGGTTAGTTCATCTGTCAAATAATTCCGTGTGTACGGACCCACAATGTTGATATACATACAGTGACTATACCTGATTACACCACCAACATGGCAATTCCTCCTGTCTGTCCAATCAGACATTTCCCTTGCAGATGACTTGTACAACTGCAGGTAAATTCCGTAGAGTTTTCACGTAACGACGAAGCGTTTATTATACTCGCGAAAACGAAATTCGTATATCGATATACCTCGTGGTGGATCAGACGGTCAAAGTATATCGACTGTGTATCGAGGTAGACCCGAACTTTGAATTAAACATGAGGGTAGCCCTCGTGTCGGTTGATGGCGACAGGTTTAGGACATGTCGGACCGTCCAGGCAAAATGGTTTACACATACAGCATCGACATAAAACTTCTTTTCTCGTTTCATCAATTTATAGTGGGTTACGGATATGCGGGGCTTCACCATACTCGTTTTAACGAACGCATGTATATATATATGAAGTGAATTTCCCAGTGGTATACGTTTCTCTTCCTACTAAAGAACCAATACAAGAAATGGACTCCATTTGTTACATTAACAAACCGTACCGGTAGAATTTTGACTTTATCGTCGAAACTTTATTTCATGCGCACTGTTTACTATTCAGTTGATTCAGTAGTCGTCCGCTAGGAGACACCACTGTGCGATCAAGCGCGCCACTGCGCATGCGCGGCTTGTAAACACAGATGACAGCAGGACAATGGACTTAGGTATATACAGAACGAAGTCGTTAATCGGCATCGAGTGCAATTTCTTCGTTAACGGTCCTTTTCTTCCTCAAGGAGTTCAAGTGTTCGGCTAATGCTTAATTTCTCGTTCAACCACTCACTTTGACTCGTCCTGATCCTCGTCGTCGTCCTCGGAGTCGAAGAAAGCATCGTCGTCCTCGGCGTCCACCGATGTCTCCGTTCTCATACGTCGTTGCTGAACAGCTCGAGATTTTGGTATAACCACGTCCCTGAAAAACATAATTAATTGTATGCATGCTTCGAGATGGCAACAGTCGAGACTGATTGTGTATAGAATTATTGACAATATTATTGCCGGAATCAATATTATCAACTGAACGTTAATTTGGCGAGTCTCCGGTATATCGTATAGGGTGTGGATTTTTCAGACTGATTTCAAACCTGACGCGGCGATCCATCAGGTGGAAATCGAACAACAAAACGCAATTACGTAACGAGAAACGTTTATACCGACCCCTTAACGATCATTCGAGCACTTTGTTACGTATTAATGGAATTAATAACATTTACCGATTCTACACGATCGGCTACCGGCCAAACCCATATTAACCGCTAATACTGGATCGATACAGATATTTACCCAGCACGATTAACCTGTTTGAACGTTATTACTGGGGATCAAAACAGTTAATAAGGTAAGCTAAAGGATATATGATTCTACAAAAAAATTAATTAAACACGAAACGAAGCCAGTCACCGTCAGATAGAATATATTTACTGACAGTCAGTATCAGAAAAAAATATTATTAAAAAAATACTGATTATTCTTAATTAAATGTTACATTCACGTCAAGATCACGAGATAGCCAATTACTAATAATTCCCTGACAATTGATAGTTTGCTTCAAGATAATAGGATAATTACCAGATTAATAGGACAAAATGGATATTTCAAGATCTGAAAATTTCTGCAGTTGACTGTACGAGCAACTATCGATATAGAAGAGACGGTAATTCGTTTATTCTTCGTCGTCCTCGCTTTTCGCTTGATTTTCCAGAAAAGCAGCCAATTTTCACAGGAGTATTTGTAATCTCTGATTTTGCTGCTGCTTTTACTGTTCTTATATATGTATACCGTTATGGTACCCCTATAGGAGCAATATTATAATGTTGATTCTCAGGAACATCCAGCGAGATAGCGGAGGGGAGAGGGCTCTAGCTATATGACACGGGCTGTCGTAATTAGCCAACGAAGAAGCTGCCGAATGTTTGAACGTTACGAAGCGTCGCCACGAAATACAATTCGACCGAGGGTTGCTCTCGCGTTTGACAATGGCAATCTCGTCGGTTCGAAAGCGGCGCAAAATTAAATTAATGCGGTGCTTCCGCACGCGAGGTGTCCGCCCGAGGGTGCGGAGCTTCCGCAACGACAGATGCTGCTTCGTCGAAATGCAAATGCCCAACGAGCTTTGTTTGTCAGTTTCAGAAGTATAACGAAAGAGGGATACTGGAGAAGGGGAAAGGGAAATATTAAAAAAAAAAAAAAAGAAAAAAAAACAGAGAAATCCCCACGAATCGTTATTGCCTGTTCGTCATTCGGTGGAATGACTGAGGGAGGAGAAAAAAGGTGGAGAAAAGAAATTTAATATCGATGAGCACGTGTCTCGGCTGTGGGAGTGGAAAATAAATGCGACTATTGAGAAATAAGTCCTTGGGGGCGAAGTAACGTGAACGTGTCTGCTTATGATATTAATCGATTTGGAATTTGTATTTGCTACTCTGTATATCAATGTTTATATTGAGCAAAGAACGAGTGTATATGAGATTTATGTATGAATAAGAGTACTTCACGAAATCAATGGTAAGTACGATATTTATGTAACGATTTTTTTTTTAATTATTTTTCCGAAAATCAATGAAAATTCGCCGATCAACGTGAAACAGTGACCGGAAATAGTGCGCGAGAATCAAAAGTTTAGAGTTACTGAAATTCACGAAATGACTAATACAGATATATTATAAATTATCAAATTATCATTGAATTAGTCAAAATCAAGTATCAAAGTACTCACCCTGACTTGTGCAGCTCCTTCTTCGAGACGCAAACTGCCGTGAAGGTATCCTCGAGCAGGCAAAGTTCCTTCTTCTTGCAATTAAGTGGACGACACAGTTCACCTGGGAAGGAAACAAAAGAAAACATTGAGGAGGTCGATACGTGGACAGTCGGTACTAAAAATAACACCGATTGCTTCGGTAGAATCGAAACTTCGAAGTATTTGCCGTGAGTCAAAATCAGCCGACGCGACCGTACGAGTACGAGAGAGAACGCACGTAAAACTAAATCAGATAAGACAGAGAGAGAGTGAGATGGAGATAGATGAAACAGATCTATAGAGCATAAGAAAAAAAAGAGAGAAAGAAAACCAAGCGTCTCAGAGACTAAAACAAGAACAGAGCTAAAAAAGGAATATAGCGTAGGACAAAGATAAAGCCATAATCCTTTTGGGACTTGACGGACGGGTGCCCGTTCAAGTTTTCCAATTTGTATGAGATTTGCGAAATTGAATCCAAGCGAATAAATAAGCTCGCGCGAAGAAGGGCAGAGCCTGGAAACTTAATTGAGCCATTCGCGAGGCTCGTGGGAGGGCTTCGCTAAGAACCATGAAGGGGTGAACGATGAACAGAGGGTAAGTGTATAGAATAGAAGCTCGGATATCGAAGTCTCACAGAGGGACGCTTGATTCGCTTAATCTCTCAAGCGTCCTACGGCCATCGGTTTCCACTACCCAGCCTGCCCCATTCTGGCAGCGTGGTGCCGTCGCCGCTTTACCTCCCGGCTTTCACCTTGAATGACGGCAGAGGATAGGAAAAGGAATGGCACGATAGACAGCCGCTGGGGTTATGGATCGAATGCCTCAAGATATAGTAATCGCCAATCTTCCTCTTACTGCTTTATTACTGCGAGGAACCGTGAAATTAACTTTTCCGAGCAGCTCTTTCGTTTCTCTTCTCTTCGCTTCGTGTCGCCGTCACGCCTTTGTCTATCGTTGGGTTACAAGTCGTCTAGACGGGGGGAGAGTGCCCCTTGCACATATAGGGTTATTCGGAACTACTGCATCACCTGAAGATGGTTCCGTCCATTTGATTTCAGTCAACGCTCGTGCCAGAACCAACTTCAGGTGGTACAATAGTCCTGGATAACTGTGTATACGTATATACAATCTCTCGGATCCTACATATACACGTCATTATTTATCGTCACGTAACTGCTACATGTTATTCTCGGTAAGAGTGTTTACCTACGTCCCACACAATGGCCTCCTATAGGCGTACAGAGACTCGCTACAGGAACTTGTCCTTTGTGATTTGTGCAAATCGAATGTAAATTTCCACGAGCAAGACTTCTCTACGAGCTTTACGGAAATTCTGGAGTAATCGCAAAAATCCAGCTAAGAAAGCACCTGCTGTACGTGAAAATTTCAAAAGTTCACGCCGTCGAAAATTTTGAAACTGTAAGCGTGATTTGGATATTTTTCTGGAAACTTGAGCTATAGGTCCGTATGTATGTACAAATCCGTATACGGATGTAGCATCGAGCGACCGACTAGGGAACTGGCCTTTGTATATTGGATCGCTGATAACTGGATCGCCTATTGCCTATACCCAATGTACATTCTTCATACGGGGAAGAAGGTTTTGCCTAATTTCAATAATACATCCTTTTATGACGTCATCGTTACACGTACGTACCACTCGCAACGTCATTGACAGCTATTTCGATAACGTCATAGATATTCATTTTTAACGAGCCCACGTTAGATCCTGTTATCAATATCGATAAATACGAGGTCAACGTATATATGAATATTATAACGGTAGATCCGCAAAAACGTCTAACGATCTAATAAGTACGAATTGATCGGCCGCCGTCTTATCGTCGAAAAACCCATAACACTGCTGATTATTAATACGAGTACATTTATTACCGTACGTATAATTTTCTCCACGCCCCCAGGCTGTCTCTGGGTCACGTTTGCACTGGGCGCAGTACCTAACCTCCATCTACTGACCACATTTACATTTTTATCGGGATTCCGCACCAGTGAAATGCACGAGGCTCACGGCGATCCAGATAGATACTTTTTATATCTTTCTCGCGCACGCCTCGCCGCTAATCTTTTAGGCTGATTTCGATATTTCCTCGTTCTATTTTTTATAACCACACAGTACGACCAATTCGAGGGAATATTTCACGAGCACGACTTTTGCTCCTGACTACCTGTAAATATGTAATATCGAGGTCGTACAGAATGACGAGAGAATCCAGTACAGATACGCCAGACGTCATTATAAACTAGGTCAAAAAGGTTCGAATGAGATTTGAAAAAAAAAAAAAAAAAAATCATGAAAGGGGCGACCTAAATTTTTTTTTTAAGGAAGTCAACCTGAAAAAAAAAGATACAAAGGGAGAAAAAATTAAAAATAATATATCCCAGGGGGCACGAAATTTTTAATGAGACACGCAATTCGCGACACGCAGCCACCCTTCTGGGTGGTACTATAATTATAAAATGACCTCTTGGAAAATTATAATCGGATACTAGAAACGAGCTTGGGATCCTTTTATCGCGGAGTGCATTCACCCTTGTCATTTTATGTATGTATAGTATATATACTATATACGGTATATAGGACGGCTACGACTGAATCGACAAGAGAGTCATTTGTCGATATTAACGAGCGAAAAGCTAGTTGCTCACAGTGGAACCAGTTTGCTATACTGTATAACGAAGAGAACGGGACGCAGTTCACTTTCCACGAGTACAATGCGAAGTCGTTCGTCGGGCAGAAACTACTTGAGACCTGCGAGGCTTTCCGGTTGGTGACGTCAAAGTTTCCCAAGTCCTTGGTTAAACGGTGTCCCGTCCGCTTCGGAGTTATTGTGCAATCAGAAGCATCGGACTGTCCAGAAACTGTGACTGGTAATCGTGGCCGAGGATTGACGGTAAGCGTTGGAAAAGTTTCGTAAATAAAATCAAGTGCTGTGAATTACTACGGGTAGCCGGTATTTTGAGGAACAGCGACGTTATGAGAATAATAAAAATTTGAATCAGTTTGACAGCCCAGGGAGTGGAGGATCTGAAAATTGATTTTTGAACCCGGAAAGGTAACACGTAAAAAAGGGCATAGGGATGCAAAAAACTTAAAATTTGCACGAGACGTTGATAATTTATCCCACCTGAAATTTCATATCGCTTCTCCAACTTCTGCTGGTGCGTTTCTACTGGCTAACCCTGTACACTCCATATGGTAATCTATTGCAGACAGTTCTTCGTTTAAGAGTTCCCATAAATGAAGCCAAGTAGCGATACAAGCTCGAAGGAGATACTAATTCTTTAATTCCGATATGGATAAAAGGGAAACACGGTTAGTAAGGTGAAAAAAGGTATAAAATAAAAATGTTCCCAGGTCAGAATAACTGGAAGGTGATAAAACAAAGAAAAAAATTGAATTGAAATATTAAAACGGCAGTAAGGAAAAAAAAAAAAAACTGAAGACAGATACAGAGGTCTAGTCTTAAGTATAAGTGAACTAATTATCCAGGAATAATTTCAACGGAGCTTCTGCTTTCATTTCCAAGTCCATTATGAAGTTGGTCAATGTTTTACTTCTTTATACTCGTCCCCAGAAATAAATTCTTCAAGATGGCCGCCTCGGGCGTCGCGTTCGATAAGTTTTCCGTACTTGTCGTTGCGAGTGCCCAGAAAATTCTCCTCCGTTCCGTCAAAATCTTTAACAATGGACTGTACACAGTGAATGGTCCGCGCAGCCTCTTCCAGTCATCCAGCAAGATAGCAATGGCTGCTTTTCATCGTAGAAAAGGACCAGAGATAAATAGCTATCAAGTTAGAAGAGCCCCTATACCATTAGACTCGGTAGCAGATTAAGAGCTTAGCAATTTGGGAAATTGCTGCCGGGGTCTAAGCGAATCCAGAACACACTAAGGACTGTCGTTGATCTTGATGGATGGATACACTCCAATGGTATAAATCCGCCATAACGTCCGACTGTTCTGACGTACTGACGTACCTCCCCCTTAGACGTGCATCGGGCGTTTCCATGCGTCGTTTCGAAATTCATCGGACCGACCGGGAATGCCAGAACCTTACGATGCCTATAACCGCCTGACTATTCAACGTCTGACCGACTACTGACTTATCTACTTGTGTCTCGGTATATCTCAAGCCCACGTGGGAACGCACCTAGAAACTCGACTAGAGTCTCTACAGGGGTACCTGAATACTTCAATTTTCTTAATAACAGGAACGCTGACTTCCCGTGGTATAGCTATTCGTTTTTCACGGTACTTCGTCAAAACCTATCTATATAAGCGACACTCCGTACGAGGCTGACTCTAATAAAATTTAACCACCAAATCAATCGAAACGTGCCGAATCAGAAATTACATTGAATGGCGTCAAGTGACGTTTGGTCGATTTAACAGGTTCGCCCCGGAATTTTAGCACGTTGAAAGATTACAGACTCTTGACGTGGCTTTTTTTTCTCGTTTTCGCAATTTACATAGATATTACAAAAACCAGCAGCACTCATAACGAGTGTCGTGCATGCATGCGGGTTATTTTGACCTGGGTGTACAATTTCCAAGGTAACACAGGAGGGTGTAATAAAAGGGTTGAATAATGAAAAAGGAATGTACAATAAAATTTTGAAAACTCCTATCTCCGTCGATCTGCCATCTAAATTTTTTTTTTTTTTTGAAATAAAAAATTTGCATCCGCGATGTCTACACTTCTTGCTAAGACTTGACAAAAAAACTGGAGTCGATCGACGCAAAAATATCATAACCAACAAAATAAAACTATACGTTCGCAAAGACGATATTTCTTATACGGGGTGACTATACGTATATTTATCTAGAACAAATGGTAATCCAAGCTGCTAAATCGAGGTTAAATCGTTTCATCATGTTCATCAAGGTTCACCACGCTCGGACAATGTACCTGGTGCCAGTACGAAATTCACAATGAACTTCGGTACAACAATCGCTTGATGTATTCGTAGATCGTATTGAAGCTCTGTAATGCTAATGCCCAAGGATTGACAAGCGTTTTCGATTATTCTCCCCCGATAACTCGGCCACACAGAGTTAGATATAGAAACAAGCAGTAGCAATCCCGTGCACGAGTGCCTCTGAGCTACCGCATCGCTAAGGGACAATTAGATCGGTCGAGATTACGTCAGTAATTAAAAAAAAGGATTGTCAATCATTTCCGACACTGACTGTACACCCATTGTCCCCTGTACAGTCGTGACAAAAAATAGAGATGATTCGGCGTTCAAGCTCTCCGTATAAGAGCATACGAATTTATACACGAGGTAGGCAGGTACACGTACGTAGCGCGACCACATTTGAAAAACGAGGAGCCACGAATAATTGATGCTCAATCAAAATTTTACGGTCATTCGTTTCACGGTTATATGGTAGGAAAACAAAAAAATATCTCAAATATTTATAATCCACACCTGCGGATGATGCATTTCGTGCTCGTTAATACGAACGACTCCCGTGCGATACGAAAGGTCGCGTATAAAATTTCACGCTTTAACTGCCGTACAGGATGACGTGTTCTGTATATACTTAGTGCATACACAGTACCAAGTTACGGCTGACGGAGACGATCTTGGCATACGTGGAACGAGTAGAACGAGGATCGACTCGAGCAATGCGACGTCATAGAAACACGTCACGTGATACCGCTGTGACTGCTATGTGAAAATATTGACGAGCCAAGAGGATATAGACGTGCGTGACATATATGGTGTTACGTATTCGGAATCGTAAAGGCTATGGAAATTGCATGGAAGCAACGTGGGGATTAATTGTTCAAGCATGTTATCCCTTGTTGACAATAAAAAAAAAAAAAAAAAAAAAAAAAAAAAAAAAAAAAAACACTTGTAAGGTATTACAGGTCGGTGAACAAACGTCAGTGGAGTACGTGCCATATGTGTACATGCATATAAGCGATATATGCAAATCGGCCAGAGGATTTCTTCGAGTATTAAAAGCCACTAGAGGGACGGAAGATGCAGAGCCCCTAAATAAAGGTGGAGAAAAATAAGAAAAAAAGAAAAAAAAAAGAAATTGTCAGAGTGGCTTGAAAAAGATAAAATGAGAAAGAAAAGAGCAAAGAGGAGTCGAGGCAAGGATATCTGCATATAGAGACACGTGCGGGATTATTCGTCTCAAGGGTTGAAAGAGGGTTGTTTTGTTTTTCCGTTATTACTCGAGCGCCCATATTCTCTTAAGGCAGTCGTAGGCGTACATATGTATATATATATAGGGTTGAATTAAAAATGTATACTCTTCGCGCACCCCCGAGGACATGATTCACAATAAGGTCGTGGATCAGGTCAGTTTCGCAGGTATGGGGTATTAAATACGTGACCTGACTCTGAGGATATTTTCGCCATTGGCAGGTCGATTGTGCGATTCCCGTCGTCTGTTATGTTATGAGAATGATATGGGGCTTTGACCTCTTGACCTTAAAGGGGTCGTTAAATAATGGCGCGAAACCCTCGAGGAATCGCGATATCCATCTTAACCGGTTCCTGCGCCATATGGTATATATCCTTGAGTAGGTACACCAGGCATACGTGCTATAGAGATACTACACAGACTTCATGCTCCTACGGGTACTATATTGCTACTGTGGCACTTTGCTACTATATGGCATATATATACGCGTTCGATGAATCTTGCAAGACGCTCAAGCGATTTCGCGTTGCCAGGAAAGTTTTGAGAAACGAAATTACACAGCTTCGAAAGCTGGGTTCAGCATTGTCTCGGGGAACTATGCAATCTCGCGGATCTCTTAAGTAGCGCTTTAGTCGGATGGACCAGAAAGGACGTGGCAGAAAAAAGTTGAGTAGAATTGAAAAGCAGTTTCCTGGGGTTCTCGTATATCGTAGATTACATATTTTACGCGTTTGCCATATATGAAGGGAACATTCGACGAAGAGAGTGTTTACGGTGCGCGAGACTAATTTCCGCGTGATTCGGGAAAAATTTTGCGAATTAAAAAAAAATGTAAAAACCAAAAAAAATATTCATGATTTTTTTTTCTTAGTTCATAAAAATTTTTCCTATACCACTGCAGGTACACAGCATTCCCATGTTGCGGTATACCTGTAGCGAGTGATATATTCTTGAAGAATGCAAAAATTCTTAATTACATCGGCACTGTAGCATGCTACCGGGTGTATTACGCGGGAGAAAAAAATTTCAAGAATTTAAGTTCGCATTTATGAAAATTATGATTTTGAGGTAAACTCACTGTTCGGGTCGTGTATCCATCTCTTCTTATCGCCAGGCTTCGTAATGCGGGTGTCGTCCTGAAAGAAGAAAGGATAATAACGTTATGCGGCACGAGGAACGAAGAACTCGCCAGCTTTCACGTATAACAATCGAATGAACAGTCCCGTCCGTTGGCCTCGATCTCGGCGGGCGTAAATCAACGTGTAAAATTGTTACAATTATCCGCGAGCAATTCACGAGCTTCCGTCTCTCCTCCGTGTATTTTAAACTAAGTGAGTCATTTTCCCGGTAGATCCATTGTGTAATGGTCGTTTCCATTGTAGTCCCGCCCTGAGAGAAGCTACGTGAGAAACGCTCGGTGCTTGAATTCCAAGCCTGTATATGAGAGCACGTCAAGGCAAGTATGAATAAAGGACACATAAGATACGTATACCTATGCATCCGTAGTAAAAGGTTAGGGCCAGCTAAAAGTAGAAACCTGAACATAGTTACATATCCATATCGACGAAAGGGAGCAAGTTCAGGGTAGTCCGTGAATTTGAATCGAGGTCGACCCCAAGACAAGCATTTTACAGGAAATTGCAGCACATGCAGTTAGACAATAAGTCACAGCTCGCGCGATAGTTCAGCAGGTAAACCGAGAAGTCAGCTGTCAATAAAATTCTACCTGAAAGTATAAAATTAGTGAAAAAAAGTGTTTTTGAGAAAAACGAAATTTTTTTAAAAATCAAACAACGTGCACGCTACCGATCAAATAACCCGATTGAATAAAAATAAATAAAAATAAATTCGAAATACAGAGCCAATAGGGGATGACGCGTTGGAGAACCCGTGGGAATGCAATTACTCTGAATTCGATCGAGTCCCGCGACTTTGCTCATAGAAATCCCACGCAATCCTAGATCGTATAGCGACACAGTCGCAAGAGGATTTCCATGAGCTCAATAGAGCCGTTCAGTGCTTAGAGGACGTATACGAGAATGTACACAAGGCTTTGGCTAAAACAGGTTAGAATAGCATCTGTCTGAATAGCTATATTAGGAGTGATGTACGAAGGTACACGCCAAGTACGTAATACCAGTAATAGCAATGGTAAAACACTAATGCCGTAAGGTTGAAGCTGCCGGTGCCGGTACTGGATGGTCTTGTTAGATTTACCTGTTTTTACCCTGAAGCCGCGTCTGGCTGGGAATTACATCTAAAAGCCCAGCCGAGAATTGTCGCGAACCGCGACGGGTCTGATCCTTATGAGAATAAAAGAAGAAAAAGACAAATTTTCGTCCGAAGGACTAAGGAAAAAAAAAAAAAAAAACAAGTTATATAACCGCAATGGCGGTACGGCGTGAAGTGGCCGGCGGTTCGGAGACTGTAGGATCGCGGAAACCGTCGGATGGTCCGAAAGAACGAAAAACTTTTCCGTTTCAAGACGAGGAAGCACAGAGGTTCGTTCGCACGTACGAGCAGATAGTAGATGGCGGTAGAGGCGGCAGCCGTACGGTATATATATAAAGGGCATGAAAAGAAGACACGGGCGAAGGAAGGAAGGGAGAAAAAATGTAAAAAGCTTCGACCACAAATCTAATTTCCAACTCGTTGCGTGAATCCGAGCGGAATCGTAGATGTAGGTTAATCGGTAGGCTCGTACCGTTGCACCAGCGGGTATATATCCACGGCCGCTTGAAATGCAGCCAAGGCCTTAAGTCAACCGATACGAAAATTACGAGAATTTCTATGGCTGCGACGCGCGGCCACTGTTTCTATCCGATTAGCTATAGGAACTATTAGCTGAAACGAGACGAGACTGCATTACCGGCGAAGCTTCTTATCCTAATGTACCGATACGGTGTGTACGAGTGCACAAGGCATTTTATGCCCTTCTGCCTCTTGCCACCCACTGGCACTAGTACTACTCTCCTATCTGCCCATATATCTTTGGTACCCAAGGTAACCCTTTCACGTGGTATCGTGAAACACCCAACAAGAGTTCGACGTGCCCGTGACGTTTTCTGCACTTCCCGGATGCTGTCGATACACCTTGTGGACGGAGCCTTAAGAAGCTTCCCCTTGTCGATTGGTATTACAATCCACCCTGCCACGTGGAGGTTGCCAGAATCACACGTGGCAATGAAATATTTAGAAACTTCAACCATGGGACTTCGCCTCGTTCCGGGAAATGTGGCTATGAAGAATGTAGATGCTACGAAATGTATCAGGGCCGAGATACATTCGTCACTGAGCAAAAGAGACGTGAACGTCACACGGAAGACACGAGGTGGACCTTCTTGCACCTTGAATGAGAATATTTTGCATCTCTTTATTTGTGCCTGCTTATGGCCCAGCAGAGGTCAGGTGAAGCGCAATCGTGGTTCTATACGTTGGCCGATAATAGCTAACTGAATTACTAGTTAATTCGACGATGCGACGATGCAGAATGAACCGGTAGAAGATAATGCTTACGGAAACATCGCGTAGGCGATACGGATTAGCGGATGGGCGATACGTCCGGCCAGTTTGACGGCTTCGACGATGCAAGTCCTCTACTCGTTACATTATTGACGGTAATTAAGCTGTGTGGATCACTGCCTCTCGGAAAGTCATTGCGCGACCGAGCCTACTGCTGGTCGTTGGCTAACGAAGCCTCTCGACCGGATCGTCGATCGTACCGGAAACACGATTATCGTCGTTAAGAGGACCTCTTGTGACGTAGAGCGTCCACGTCATATTTCGTGACGTCATATATATATATTAAATAGATTTCCACTACTTTTAAATGGCAAAAAATAATCAGAGCACTTACGGTTGGTTGAAATTCTTCGTTTTGTACCTGAAGAATTTCATTGTAACACGGTTGCTGCTTTATTTATTTAGTGTATATACTATATAATATATTTCAATTTTACCTATTTAACAAAAAAAAAAAAAAAAAAAAAAAAAAAAAAAAAAAAAAAAAAAAAAAAAAAAAAAAATGCATGACAATGATTGAAATTCTTATTGGAGGTCCATTGTCGCAATGACGTTGTTTGACGAGAACGAAAGAAAATTCATATGAGAATTTTGGACAGGATGAAAACATTGAGAAAATTAGATCGAGCCGTTCTCATGGAAACGCCCGAGACTGCGAGGGTCTTTCGATTGAATCGGATGTCTCGGTGGAAATCGCATCCAGCACGCTCCGCTCCGTTTCCTCGTAAGATGCAGGGGAGACAATTGATCCAGGCTTTTACGAGTGTTTTTCACCATGTTACGTAAAATCGTACATGAGAATCACGAAGCAATTTGCATGTACGATTTTCGAATTTATTAAAGTACAAAAAATTATTACCACCATATCGCATCCAATTTATCAAATAGTCGCTTTACAATTTCCCTAAGACAGTAGCGTCTAGCACGCTAAACGGAGTACTATCATGAGCCATAAGTGCTTTCAAGATTTCACCTTTCCCGTGAAAAATAGAAAATATTTGTCATTTCGAGACCAGAGAAGAATATTGATTTTGCGTCGAGCTTACGATATTTTTTTCTTCTTTTTCTTTCTCCGTCATCCGTTTAGTTCTTTCTCACTGCCACTTCCTGATATCTTACCAGGAGGACATCGTGATTGAGAGTAACGAGAAGTTCTGATCAGTCTAATTTACTTTCTCTCCATTACCCTATCACTCCTGACTAGTTCGTCATCCATTATCATCCTAGGTATATATATATATATATATATACACGTATATAGAGAGCTACAGTACGAACTGTCCTCGAGGAACCCAAAAGAGGACGCCATTACCGATCTCGGGCGCCATTTAAATCGATTATTCGAATGGCTATCTCCGATGGAAATCCTACCGCCGCATGATAAGACTCCCACGTTACAAGCACCAGGAGCTTTTACTCATCTACCAAAGCTCCTCCTGTGGCAAGGACTCTATCGTAGTTCGTTGCTCTGTACGCCCTTGGGTCTCCAATGGCTATAGGTATAAACTACTAAAATCCATACACACACGCAGCACACCAGAGTCTATTATCTATAAAGCGCTAAAGAACGTTCCTCGATCCAGGTAATACGATAGAAACTTCCAATTTCCTATTTTTTTCTTTTTTTTTTTTTTTTTTTTTTTTTTTTTTTTTTTTTTTTTTTTTTTTTTTTTTTTTTTTTTTTTTTTTCCCCACAAAGATCCAATTTCTGGGGTCAACTGACTCTTATATGGTTTTCAATAGATATACTAAAGTCACGGTTGAATCTGTTCCCTATAGTACGTGCGAGCTAACAATTCTCTAATATTGAATGTGCATGGGCTTAAGTGACGTAAAGAATTTTCTATATGGAATATATACATATATACATCGAGATTACCGTGAAGTACAGAGTCAGGAGGGTTAACGTTGAACATCACTAGCTGCGAACTTCACGTTATTGCTTTACATTCTACGAATGCTGCGGCCAATGCGGAACGCGTGTCGGAGAAGGAACGTGAAATATGTGATATGGTTTATACGAGCCCCGTGTACAGTAGCGTGCGTATATCCTAGCGCGTCCTCGGGGCTTGGCTAAGCGTCACGAGCCTCCGACATAGTCCAGTTGTACCTGTGCGTACGTACTGGATTGTATTGGCAGTGTATAGTAAAACTATATACAGATGTCATAAGTGCACAAATAGTTGGTGATAATTATAATACAAAAGTTTGATACAAGATACAGTTTGATACAGTGGGGACCGAGTTAGACGTACGACGGGTCGGACAGACTGTCGCGCGCATCGAGATGACAGTGAAACGGGCTTAACAGTGAGCTCGGGCAAGGCTGGCTAAAGCGCATGGAGTGTTTGGCTTCTGGAAATCGGAGCAAAATAGCCTCGGGCACTGGGACGACACTTCAGCGAATGGTGCTTCGGTGTATTTGCTTACGTAACATCGTCGGGCGCGACTCGACCTATGTATTTTGAAAATATTCTTATAAGTGAAAAACCGTGAGGTTGACTTTTTGTTTTTTATTTTAACGAAAAATTTACCGAACGATCGAGACTGATTTTTTTCGGATTTACAAAATTTCAGGATTTTCAATGCCACTAGGTTACGCACTCGTATACGT